GGCCAGCAAAATGGAGGTCAGGTCCATGGCCCTTTCCTAAGGTAGTGACAGGGCTCACCCTGTTTCAGCTGGGACTTTCTCTCTTTTATCATCTTCCTCCCCACCCCCTCTTGATTGACACAAGTGCTGGCTCTGACATTATTTAAAAATAGATATTAAGACAAGGAAGTTTAATTTTTAATGCTTTGGAAAGGAAGTGAACACCAAGCTGCCATTCCCTCATGGCCACTTCCTGGGGTCTCAGAGCACCAGCCCCCTTTCCCCAAGCAGAGCCCTACCTGGCCCTCCTTGAAGGTGAGAGACAGGGGAGATGGCCTGGTGCCTTACACCGGAGCATTTCAGGAAGCCTCTAAATGCCTCTTGCTGCCCAGATCATCCAGTCTCCTGCTTGGAGAGGCCACGTTCCAAACCAGTCTGGACCCGGTTCAGACCCCTCAGTCCACTTACCACTTCTGTTCCCAGGCAGAAGGTATCCCACCAACTCCTTATGACACCCAGGATATCTAACACCGGTTGTGCACAGACCCATGTCCTGGATACCATGGTCAAACAAGGAGCTAGGGAACCCACAGAGGAACTCATGATGCAGCCAAGCCAATAACAAACACATGCCTCAGATGTGGCTAGACAGCCTTAACCAAGTTGCCTACACCCAGAGGGCAAGTGAATGGACCACGAGGAGCCAAGCCACAAAGGCCTGACCCCACTTAGGGGGTTAATCAGGGCCTCCATCCAGCACCCTACCTGTGGCAGCTCTGTCCCAACCTTTAGCTGCTCCAGCAGGCACACTGAACACTGCCTCCTTGGCTAATTGGCCTTTATTAAGGGAGTAGTCCACAAGGAATAGACTTTCCAATGAAGCCAGAATGTCACTGCTCTGCCAGCCATGATTTAAAGTGATGGGACAGCTCTGATGGCAAGCATGAAAAGTGACCATTATCCTGAGTGGCAATTATGCCAGGAACCCCTGGCTACCCCTAGCCCATCCATATCAGACAGGAGCTTGATTTGGGTTGGGAGGAGCTGGGCTGGTATCACGATCTGTTGTGCTGAGAAGGGGATAAAGGCCCCTAGTACCCAAAGCCCACCCCCATACTCTCTCTCCCCTACTCAGGGTTTAAAGCTCTAAGCCTCCTTTGCCCTCCTGGAGGGGCTCCAAGTCACTTCATTTCTCCCCAAGGTATTCCACCAAATGGCCTAGGAGAACTCGGAGATAGGGCTGATGGAGGGAGCTGCCCTGTGCCTTCCACGGCAGGGAGAATGCCCCGGAGTGGGTCTGATCACACAGGAACAGGCCCCTCAGGATGGAGAAACTGCTGTGCCCTTTCAGGCCTCCTACCCCCTTGCCACTGAGAAGCCAACATTCCCTTGGGCCCCAAGGATCAGGATGAAGTACAACAGGGGCAGAGGAGGTGGGGCTCAGACTGGTATGACCACTGGCTCCCCCTCCCCAGCCCCACCATCTCCATCGGGCTTTCAGAAATGCTGTCCTGGGTGCTAGCACCATCTGGTTGAAGTCACCGGTGCCAGGAGCAAACCTGGATGCCACCCCCTCTCCAGTAGGCAGTGCCCAGCAGCCTGTAAATCACTGGCCTTCTGGGTAAGGAGGAGGAGCGCTGGCCACATAGCCCCACCTCCACTCTGCCCCCAGTGACGTCACCCAGGACCTCACTAAAGGCAATACCCTAGAAGCTCCACCCAGTGGCAAGGCCCCAGGATTCTTAGGCCTGTGGGGGGGTGCAGTAAGACAGCTGCACCTCTCCTCCAAACTGGGAATCCTCCCAGAGGGCTCCGAGGAGCCAGGGGGGTGTGGCAGCAGCGGTGGGTTTGGAGAGCTACCAGGTAGCTCCAGGACCTATAGGAAGATCTCTATTTATTGATTGCAGGCCTCAGGTTCAACTCTAATGCCCCAGAAAAGCCTCCTTTGGGGATCTGAGCCAGGAGACTAAAAAAAGTGATGGCTACATCACTCCTAACAATTACTCTGGGTCCCAGAGGGCTCAGGCTCTGACCAGCCCTGCATCCCTCCCTCAACCTTACCCTCTCACTCACCTCCAGTCTTCCTGTGTACACTGGAAAGCAGCAGAGTTATCCCAGCGGTCCTGCCCCATCAACTACCCCACCTGCCTTTGGCCTAAGTATCTTCATCCTTTCTCTTCTTTTTTCTTTTTTTCTCTTTATTTTATTTTATTAAAGATTTTATTTATTAGAGAGAGAGAGAGAACATGAACAGAGGGGAGGAGCAGAGGGAGAGGGAGTCCGGCGTGGGATTCAATCCCAGGACCCTAAGATCACGACCCTAGCCAAAGATAGATGCTTAACCAACTGATCCACCCAGGTGCCCAATACCCTTTCTTTTCTGACTTGGCTCTTTCCTCTGTTCCCTTTCCCATATCAGGCTTGCATGACGTCTTCACTCAAGTGAAGTGTGGTGACCTGCCCCGTGCCCAAATCCTAGCTAACTCCATATTATACCCTCTCCACCTCCAGGGAACACAGTGGCAAATACTCCTACACATACAAGCATCCATTTCTCTTCTGCTAACTTTCCATCTTTCTTAAGGCCTATGTCTTATTTCATCATCTCACTAGCCTAAGAGAACTGGGTCTTTGAGATCCAATTTCCCCCAGCTCATAGCACATCATGGAAATTCGAAAAATATTGAGTAATCAGAAAAGTCAGAGATTCAGAGAGACTCCTTGCCTGGTAGAAGAGTGACAGTACGTACCTCCTAATTAGGAAGAGACAACAAATTATCTCACTATAACCAAAAAAATAAAGCCATTCCATCAGTCAGCTCATTAACCTCTGCCAACGTCTTAAGGGAAGATGAAAAGAGTTGCTTGCCACCCCACAACTAAGTGGCTAGGAGAGCCTTCATCACAGGCGAGTTTGAGAACTCCTCTTCCCTATCATGTGGGACTTGGAAATCCCTGTCACAAATAAGATGTGGATTTACCACTCTGGCCATCCATTCATTCACTCACAAACTTATCATGAGTGCCTACAATATGTAGGACATGGACCACTATGCCAAGGTGTGAGGTGGTTCCCTAAACCAAGCTAGGATGGACTGGAGAAGGGAGCCACAAGCAGTTATATCTACTCTGGCCAGCAGATGGCAGGGTGGGGGTGGGGAGGAGGGCAGTTGAGTGGGAAGTACTGGCCAAGGCCTGAGCATCCCCACCAAGGACTTTCTAGTGAGTGGTAGGACATGCAGAGTGTGGCAAGGCAGAAAGGTAGGTTGAGATTATGAACAGAGGCAGAGAAGGAAACCACAATGCAAGTGAGGCAGCATTCTTGTACATCAGGCTGCAGACTAATAAACACCACTACTTGGCTGACACTGATGCTGGCAAATGAGCCAGGGGACCAGGAGGAGTACTTCCCCAAAGGCAGCCATGACATCATTCTTGACATTCCAATGGTTCTGCCCCAGTTTCCACAGAACCCTCACCACAGGACAGGTAACATCCTAACAGCAGTAGCTGGAGGGCCCCAAACCATGCAGACATGGGGGAAATCCAACTCAATCTCAAACTGGGCTCCTCAAAAGAGAAGCAGCAGCCTGTGGCCCCCTGCTGAGAAGGGGACTCCCTCCCCAGAGGGGAGGAGAGGATGCAGGATGTCCCATCCTGCAATGAGGTCAGACATAAGGAAGACCATCACAACAGCCTCCTCCTCCTCAAGACTGGAAAGGAAACCCAGACCTTAAGCGATAAAGCAATTTTCCCAAGGTCACACAAGCAGCTAACAGAACCAAGACTAGACCCAGTCTTCTTCCCACCCAGCCCTGAGATCTTCCCTTCTGTGGGAAAGCTCACCCCACCCCCCATACACACACCCAAAAAAGTTTGTCAGTTAAAGCAGGTCACTCCACACAAGTGTTGAACATCAAAGCACAACCCCATCTACCCAGCTTCACTGTGAATGACTTTCTCTTGCCCCCGGTGCTCCTTCTGGACTACGGGCAGCTGACAGCCTCCTGCAGACAGGAGGATAGGCCCTGGGGCAGAGCCAAACATCTGTGCTGACTACGTTGGGGCTCCGGTGAAGAAAGGCAGAGGCAGCAGTCGGGATGAACGAACAATTAGATATGAATTTCCCAAGTTTTAAAATTTGCCTAACTTGTATTTCTCATGCACGCATGCACATGGGTGCACACATGGCCTTCAGATCCCAAATTGCCCCACCCACTGACCCTTTCTCTAGAAAATCATCTCTCCCTGAGCACAGGAGCACTCCCCTTATCCCTTCCAGTCTTTGAGCTCCCGGAGCCTGGGAGTGCTGGCTGGCATTCCTTGGTGGGAGCACATGGCCAGCCCGCTCCCTGCCCAGTGGACTGCAATCCCTCAAAAGCAGCTGCACGCCACCCGATGGCAGCATCCCTTCCACACTCTCCTTTTTCACACAAGCCCTAACTAACTCAGGGGCATATCTGTAGGCTAGCAAATGTTGCCCCTCCCTCCCCCACTTGGGAGGGGGCTCCTCTCCCTCTCCTGGGACTCACTGAAGGAGTGAGAGGAAGTGACTTCTACCATGCCTCCCACCCCCATCTCATGCCCACAAAACGCTGCAGATTGTCTTCTGTGTATTCAGGAACAATACAAGAGGAAACTCAAAAATCATCCACACTTGTGCCTGTCTTCAACTCAAGGTCACAGCTGTTAAATATTCCAGCCCCACTCTTATTTCTGCAGGTTACCCAGTCGAAGGCACTTTCAGTGCGGGTTTCTTACAGGGGAAGGAGGTGGGAGCAAACTTTGCCAGCCACCTAGGAGTAGAGTAAGTCTCTCCTAGAAGAGAGGCAAGTCGGAGCCTCCATTCAGCCATCAAGGAGAAAGAAAGATGAATGAAGGGGGGGAGATGTAAAAAAAAAACAACCCACACTTACCGTTGTGCAGAAAGCAGGGCAATGCAGCACCGCGGGGGGAAAGGGTAGCACGCTACCGTGAGCAACGGAGAGAGGTGGCGAATGGAGAGACAGGCAAGGACTTACCCAGAATATCAAATTGAAGAGGAACATCATGTACTTCAAGCAGCAGAGGCAGCCCCTGGCCATGTTGCACTTCTTAAATTCTAGGAGAAAAACAAAGGACAGGTCCAGGTAAAACACGACGTACTTGCTGCCTTTGGGCGCATGGTACTGGTCCGCCTTGACGCCAGCCTCGGCGCGGCTCTGCCCCCGGGAGCCCGCGGTGCCGTAGAAGGCGCCGGCCGTGAAGCCGCGGCCGAACGGGCGGCCCGAGGTGGACGGCTTGGCGAAGTCCGAGTCCTTGCTGTCCAAAGATGGACTCCGGCGGATCGAAGAATCCTCGCTACTCGACTTCTCCATGCTCGCGTCGCTCCCGGGGGGCGCGCGGGGCGGGGGGCATCGCTCCCGGAGCGGGACGGCGGCGGCGCCCGAGTCGGGCGCGGGCTGCGGGCGGGCCGGCGGAGCCCCGCACGCCCCCTCTCCGCACCGGGGCGCGCTCGCCGCCAGACCCCGAGCCCGGGGGCCGCTGCCTCTCGGACGGCGCCCCGCTCGCGGCCGACCGGCCCGGCAGGGCTCCGCGGTGCGGCGCGGCGCTGCCCGCTCTACGCGCGCTCGCGGGCGCTCTCCGGGCACTGGCTGGCCTGGGTAACTTGAGGTCTTTGGGGAGGCTGCGATTTGACTTGGCTTTCCAGAGCGTCAGCTCGCCTCCCGGGTGCACCGGCCGCTCCGCGCGAGGCACAAGGGCGCGGGGATCCAGGTCCCCGGGCACACCTCCCCCTGCCCAGCCGCAGCCGCAGCCGCCACCACTCCGCGGGCGCCCCGCCTCCTCGCGCTCCGCCACTTTGCGGAGCCGCTCGCCGGCCCTGGGCTGCCCCGGCGCGCGGCGGGCAGTGCCGAGGGATCCGCCGCAGCCGCCACCCTGCCACCACTGGGCTTTCCCTGCGAAATCCCGGCCCCGACTCCCGACTCCCGACTCCCGACTCGGAAAGCGCCTGGAGCCCCCTCCCCGGCCTCGGCCCCGCCCCCTGCTTTGCATTCGACCAATGAACACTAGGCCTGCCGGGGGGCGGGCAGCCTCCCCCTCCCCAATGACACATTATCTTTAAGGGGATTAGCGTTCTGCTGTGTGCCTGGTGCCTACACCAGTGCGCCGCGGGCCCTCGCTAAATGTCAAGGGCCCTGGAGCTGCGGGTGAACCAGAACCTTCACCGGAAGGCGCCCGTCTCTTCCACGGGAGAAAAGGGGGCGGCGAGAGAAGGGGGAATGGCTGGAGGCACCAACGACCCAAGGAACCCAGAGAAAAGGGCTGGGGAGGACCCGAGGAGGAAAGAAGCGCGGCCAACTGCGAGCTGGCCGCCGCCCCCGGTGCCCACGGGGCCTGTCCGACCCGAGGCGCACGGTCTCCCTGCTACACACACCAGCGCGCGCGCACACACACAGACGCACACACACGCGCGCGCTTTTGCACACGTGGATCTGGCTCCCGCTGGGAAAGGAGACCGCAGGGGAGGCGCGAGGTGTGGGAAAGGCGCCGGGGGCCGCCGCGGGGCGCGCGCCGCCCTCCCCGCCCCCTGCGCGCGCGCGCACGCTCCGGCACACACGCGGCTCCGCAAGGCTCCTGCAGCTGCGCGAGCCCCCAACCCCCACCACCCCGCGTTCGGGGGTGGTGCGGCGCTGGCTGGGACCCCAGCTGGGCCGAGAAGGGCAGGTGGCAGAAGCGGGGTCCTGCCTCGCCCCTGCCAAGGGTGACGTAGGAGTCCTCTTGGACCCGGGCTGGAGGAGTGCACAGAAGGGGCTGGTCAAGGGAAACAGCACGAAGAATGCTCTGGCAAGAGCAGGGGCTCGGGAACAGCCAGGAGGAGCCCTTCATCCGACAGGAAAACACTGCACCTGTGTCCCCTGGGCTCGTGCAGAAGTCTGCACAGCTGATCCGGGGCTACCACAGTCAGCAAACAAAACTAGAAGACTTGAGGAGGTGAGGTGCCCACCTCTCTTTTCTGCCACCAGCAAGAGAGTGCTGAGACCCCCTGAGAACAGGGCCCAGTGTTTACCAGGCTCTGTATCCCAGCACCGGGCTTGGCCTCTGGGAGGCGCTACACAAGGATGGCTGGATAGAAGAATTCCTGCCCTCCCACAGAGTGTGATCTCTCCAACCTGGATCCCATCAGACTTTTTTTTCCACACCTGCTATGTACTGAGCATGGGGCCAGATAGAAGGTGTGCTGCTCCCTGCCCTTCAGACACACACAATCTAGCCAGGGAGATGGAAACATAATCACTGAGGCGAGGGGCAGGAACACAGCTGGCTATGCCAAGAGGGAGGAGGACATTAATTCCAGTCAGAGGGACTTGAAGACCCTCATCACAGGTCAGCTGTGGTGGCCCCATGCTGAGTGCACCCTCACTGGCTCAGAGGCAGGGGTGCCAGTGCTCAGCTTCATTAAAGGGAACTGCAATTCCATGCTATTCCATGCCCCTTCCCCACTGGGAAGGTAGCCCAGCAATGAAACTCAGTGAGTGTCAAAACCATGGCACCTTGGTCTCCTGGATGGGAGCTAACACCTTCTGTCCTCTTCAGCCTGACCAGCTTCCAGGGGCTCCCGGCTGCCACTTCGTTCTCATAACACTACTTCTTTGATGCAGGAGAGATCATTCACCAGCTGGACTGGTGAGTCAGGAGACCTGTTTTTCACTCTGAGCTCAATGTTGAGCTGTGTGATCAAGGACAAGGTAGTTTGCCTTTCGGAGCTACCATTTCTTCCTCTTTAAAATGGGGATTAATAAAGCCTACCTCCGAGGGGTGTCGTGAGAATAAAGTGAACTATGAGACCAGTCTGAGCCCTGACCAAATACAAGGGCCTGGTATCACTGGCCTAAGACAGAGACTCTGTTGTGTCAGCACAGGCCCTCCCAGGCTGGCCCCCTGTACCTTCTCTCTCTCTTTTTTCTTTCATCAACTCACACCTTGTTCAGTGAGAATAGCCTCTACATTGTCCCTGGATCATTCCACCTTCATTCCTGATTATAAGTGGATTCAGGCCAGTAACTATTTCCTTAGCAGCAGAGGCCCTGGTGGGCCAGGGTGAAGGGCAAAGGTAAGAGGAGAGGAGGTCGCCCAGTGTAGGAGTTCTGCTCACTCCTGCTCATCCTTGTCAGGAGGGCATTGAAGTCCTGGTCTTTAGTCCATTAACAAAGTTCAATGATGGTCCATCGGGAACCCAGCTTAGTCATTATCAAAATAGTAAGAGCAACAGAGATTTGCAAATCCTCACTATATCCCAGGCACCCAGCTTTACACACAGTAACTCACAGAGTCCTCATGACAACCCTACAGAATAAGGGATGTTACTGTCCCTATTTTACAGATGAGGAAACTGTATAATTTCAAAGCCCGTTTCTTTACTCTCTTGGGCTAGAAATCTAGTTCCCAACCTTGGGAATCTTCCAGTCTAAAAGGCAGAATTTAAAAGCACAACAGGGAACCTGAAATTTTATGTCCTGATGAGAGATCACTAGATAAAAGGACTTCATTTAAAAAAAAGGACCTCAAAAAAAAAAAAAAAAAGCCTTCTGCCCCCACTTCAAGACTGTACACAGAGAAGCCCAAAGCAGAGCGATATAGCATGTTCCATGACAGGACTATCAAAGAGCTGTCCCTTGCACCCCCTGGAGTGGGTGTGGATAGGGACAGGAGGTGTGAAGGCATCCCAGGAAGGCCTGGCTATGGTACACAGAGGGGGCAGTGAGGAGCCAGGCCTGCCTGGAGCAGGAGAATGTACCTGGAAGTCAAACTGAGCTACTGTGCACAGCCTTGCATGACAGGAAAAAGTCTGGACTTCACCCTGGAGCTCCCCAAGCAATGGAGGCACATGACAAAATTGGTGTCCTATGAAGCTGGGCCTTGCAGCAGCATGGAGAGGTAAGATCAGCTGCTGTGGTTGTCCCAATATCTTAGATTGTGGGTACAGAAATAACAATCAGAGAGCAAAGGTGCTCTGAGACACCATGTCTCCCTGCCCACTCCTGATCCTCTCTGACTCGCCATGTTCTGGGGAGCTGGAAGGTACAGCCTGCCCTTGAGGATCTCTGAGCATGTGAACAAGGCAGAGCTGCCTTGCCTTTCCTTTTTTTTTTTTTTTTTTAAAAAAAAAAAAAACAACAACAACAACAACAAAAAAGTGAAGCAAGTACAGAATTCCCAGAGGGGAGAAACAGAAGTGAATATGTGAAATCAACATGCAAAGTCTCCACTGACTGGCAACTGGGGAGATGTGGGCTCGGAGTAAATGCCAAGCTCTCTCTGCCTCTTCCTGAGTTTCTCAGGCCTGCAGTGTGAGCCAGAGATCAGCTTTGGTCTCTCGCTCACCCACACACAATCAGAGCTGATGGACCCACACAGAACCCCTTCTTGACCTGCTCTGAATATTTCTGTGTTCAGCAGCATGTGCAGCTCATGAGGTATGCTGTACCTCTAAGCTTCAAACAGCTCAACCTCACTGAGAATTTAGGTTAGACACGAGGTGGCACTTGCTATCCTAAGTAGTGTGTGAGATGGGCCACCCCTGTAGGAGGAGTATTAAGCCAACCCAATTTTTAAACTCCAAAATTGGGATCTTTTTTGGCAATACAGAAAATGCCTTAATTGCTAAGCACACCATTTACCAATGGTGCCAAAAGAGAAGGAGGCTGGAGCAGTCTCTAGCAGGGGGCCATTATCCCACAATGTTTGCATGAAGGCTCAGTAGGTGAGGAATGGTTAGGAGGGTCCCGAGTCCGGGGTAAGGCTCTTTGCCAGGGAAATTAAACAGCTACAAGGTCAGGTGATCCCATACTTGGCCAGGATTCAAGAAGGATAGTAACAATGCCAGTGAAAAGATCAGAGTTAAAAAGAACTAGGGGTGGTTCTATTTTTTATGTGTTTACTTTCTGAGACTCGTAAAGAAACACGCACACACAAACAAACGGGGTTTGGCTGCAGTGGTAGGTTCACAGTTAGAATCGCTCAGGACAGGGCAGCCTGGGTGGCTCAGCAGTTTATCGCCGCCTTCAGCCCAGGGCATGATCCTGGAGACCCAGGATTGAGTCCCACGTCAGCTCCCTGCATGGAGCCTGCTTCTCCCTCTGCCTGTGTCTCTGCCTCTCTTTCTCTCTCTCTCTGTCGTTCATGAATAAATAAATAAATAAAATCTTAAAAAAAGAATTGCTCAGGACAGTGTCAAGGGTGGCCCGGGTACCTCATTCTCTGGAGAGAGGTTTGTTCCTCCCTCCTTTGAGTCCCATCTGTTTGTTCAGCCTGCAATTATAGTCTACCCACATGCCTCTGCTCTGGGCACTCGGCTTCCCAAAGGAGGGAGGGGCTGTATCTGAATCACATCATCCCTGCACCCCGCCCTCCCTGACCTACTGGGGCCTGTCACAATGACCACCACAGGGAAGGTACTCAGAATGTGTCAGTAGGTAGATGGGTAAGGAAGACCACCATGCCTAAGTCCCAGGTTCTCTCTAAGGACAGCCTGAGAGCCCCAAATTCATTAACCAGAGGATGGGACCCAAGCCAGAATTCTATGGAATTTTCCTGGAAAGTAGGCTACCTGAAGCCATCAGAACCTAAAGAGAGAACTCAGGAAATTTAAATTTCCCAGCAACAGATAACAGAATATAAAGGCCCCAAGGTCAACTGTTTTGTTCACAGCCATACTCACAACACACAGAGCAGCACGGGATGGGTGAGGAAATGGACAGATGGATAAATAAGCTTATGGATCACAGGGCCATTTTGGAGGAAGACTCAGGAAAGGTAAGAAGGAGAAAACAGACTGACGAGAACCAGACAGAGGCCAAGCTACTCACAGACCCCTCCCCATCCCTGGTGGGCCATGCCTTTTGGAGGAGC